TGGACTTGTTTTAATTGTCTTCAGCTTCAACTTGAACTTGCATATGAGTCATTGATGGTCTGTTCCACAGTCAGCTCTTGGCCTTGTTTTAGCTGAAGATATTGAGCTTCTCCATCTCCTATTGCTACAGATGTAGTCAATCGGATTCCTGTGTATTCCATCTGGCAAGATCCACATGTATAGCCACCACTTATGTTGTTGAAAAAAGGTGTTTGTAATAAATAAGTCATTGGTCTTGCAAAAATTCTATCACGTGGTATCTGCCATCATTTCTATCACCAAGGCTATATTTTCCAACAATTGGTGATTCATTCTTTCTTTGTCTCCAACTTTTGCATTCCGATCACCAGTAATAATCAATACATTTTGATTACATGTTTGGTCAATTTTAGACTGCAGACATTGGTAAATATTTTCAATTTCCTAGTCTTGGCTTTGGGGTTGGTGAATTTGAATAATAGTAGTATTAACTGGTCTTTCTTGTATGCATATGGATATATTTCTATAGCTGACAGCATTGTATGTCAAGATATATCTTGAATCATTTTTTGTGATGATGAATGCCACACCATTCCTCTTCAATTTGTCATTCCCAGCATAGTAGATCATATGGTTGCCTGGCTCAATATGGCCAAAACCAGACATTTCATCTCACTAATTCTAGGATATCAATCTTTATGTGTGCCCTTTCATTTCTGACAACTTCCAATTTTCTTAGATTCATACTTCATACATTCTATGTTTCAATTATTAATGGGTGTTCACAGCTGTTTCTTCCCATTTTGAATCATGCCCCATCAGCAAATGGAGGTCCTGAAAGCTTTATTCCATCTATGTGATTAAAGTTGACTCTGCTTTGAGGAGGCAGCTCTTTTCCAGTAGTAGTTTGAGTGCCTTCTGACTTGAGGGGCTCATCTCCTGGAACTATATCAGACAATGTTTCAGAGTTATTCAAAACATTTTCTAGTAACATATCAGAGATTGTTTCACTGCTATTCATAAGGTTTTCACTGACCAATTCTTTGATAAGTGGATTGCCCCTTCCTTCTTGAGAGTCTGTCTTAGCCTGGAAGCTCCTCTGAAACCTGTCCACTATGAGTGACCCTGCTGGTATTTGAAATACCAGTGCCATCACCTCCAGCCTCACAGCAACATGCAAGCCACCACAGTACAACAAACTGATAGATGAGTGGTGGTGGAAACTTCTTAGACATATCCAAACACTTCATGGGACTGAGTTGCTAGGCTTGAAGGCTAAGGAACATAGTCTTGGGAAACATTTAGGTCAATTGGCACAACATAGTTCATGAGATAATGTTCTACATCATAGTCTGGTGAGTAGTTTTGTCTTAAAAGCTTGTGAGTGACCATGTAAGATACAACTATTAGTCTCTTCCAGTCTGGACCAAAAGAGAGTGAAAGAAACCAAATACTGAAGGGAGCATTAATTCACAGGACTAATGGCCCACATGAGCTACAGCCTTCTCTAGCTCGAGACCAGAACTAGATGGTACATGGCTACCACTATTGACCAGTCTGACCAGGGACACAATAGAAGGTTTCAGTTAGAATGGGAGAAAAACATAGAACAAAACTAAAATTCATTAAAAAAAAAAGACCAGAGTTACTGTACAGGTAGAGATTGGAAGAAGTCCTGAGGCTACATCTTAAGACACTCTTTAATCTAGAACTGAAGCTACTCCCAGAGGTCACCTTTCAGCCAAAAAATAGACTGGCCTTTAAAATAAACAATAGCACTCATGATGAATGTGCTTCTTACATAATCAACTGTGCAAGACCAAAGGGCAGCATTTGCTCAAAAGCAAAGATGAGGAGGCAAGGAGAGGCAGGGAAACTGAGGGATAGAAACAGGAAAAGTAGGTGGAAATGGAGAGAGTACTGACACCTTGTGGGGATAGCAACCACTGTGATTGTTCTGTCACAGAACAATCTGTACATAAATTGTTGAATAGGAAACTAATTTGCTGTGTAAATTTTCACATAAAACACAATAAAATATTCAGTAAATAAATAAATATGTAAAGCAATAGAAAAAATATACTAAGACTTGATAAAAATTAAAGAAAATATCAACTATATGCTGTTTAAGGAGCTTTGGTGAATCAATGGTTAACCACTAACTGAAAAGTTCAAACCCACCCAACAGCTCTGCAGGACTACAGACTGGCAATCTGCTCCCATAAAGATTACAGCCTAGTAATCCCTATGGTTTTCCCTGGCCAATTCTTCGAGAAGTGGACGGCCTCTTCTTTCTTCCTAGTCTGTCTCAGTCTACAAGTTGGGCTGTTACCTGTGCACCAGGTGCATCTTGCTGGGTTTTAAACACCAGAGGCTCAACCTCAAAACTCAAGTCTACATGTCACCACAGTAGGACAAACCGACAGACAAGTTTGTCTTGCTGTTGGAGACCTCTCGTATCACCCCCAACTGGGTCCCTTTGGCTGACT